GCTCATTATCCTACTGTTATGCCACTATTATTTGAATTTCATTCATGGAACCTTTGAGTATGCCATCCGCATATACACCGAAAATCACGAACTAATTCAGGACCTACGACATCTGGTAATCCCATCGTCAAAACGCCGCTTTCAGTTGAACGGCTCGCGTAGCTCATTCTCATTACACTGATGCAGACGGCCGGCCGATCGGTGATTTCTTGTCTCGACGCATCGCCACAGGCATCGCCTACAGATTCCCCGCTTCAAGTTTAAATTTTCGCTTATACGCGTCGTGGTCATACCTTGGGTGCGGCCAAGCTCTGCTCTGGCCGTCCAACGTATCGATCGTACTTTTCAGTATTAGTTGTTTGCAGTGCGCTCGCTGTGAACCGTATCGAACCATTCCGACCTAATTTTTAATATACGGATTGGCATGATTGACATTCTATTTTCATTTTACATTGTAGGTATTTGAGGTAAATGAGATATCTGAAAACGCCTTTTCATACTAAAAAAAAAACATACTCGGGGTACTTTCAATATCGAAATCCAAGTGTTTACTTACTTTATTGCTTTCACATTCTGGAATTCACCTGCGTTGAAGCGATTATCATTTTTGATGAATTCCAACAATAATAGTCCAACTTGAAACTTGACTCAAATGTAAACAATGTCACAAATATAATGAGTTCTGAGGTCACGATTCTACGGACCAAACAAAGCGTTTCGGTTTCCATTTGAATTTATTTCAAATACGAAAAATTTTAAAATTTCCTTTTAGGCTCAAACGTAGGTAATATCATATAAAAAACGCGGAACGACGCGATCGCCATCTGTTGGTTTTATGTGAATACAACATCTCATGAAATTTCAGTTAGCAGTGCCGAAGTTGCAAGATTACAGAATTACAGCAAGATGAGTGTGTACCGCCATCTATTAGGTAGGGTCCGAACCGGTCCGAACTACCAAATTCATGTTTCCTACTTTATCTTCGAAGGATATTGCAACGAAACCAAACCTAATAATCGAAAAATGGCGTCCTTGTGTCAAATTTCAGGTTTTTGTTCGAATGGAGACATTCCAGGAGCTGATATTTTGGTAACGCATTCCTAAATTTTGGTTCCATACAATGAGGTAATTTTATTAAAATCTGAGACACAAAAATTTTCAATGTTTACATTTTTCAAAGACCCCTAACTTTTTTCAATGGACGAGTTTTGACTCCGAAAAATACTGATTCCCGAATTTGAACCTTCCTCTTTACGATAATTCAATTAGTTTTGAGATTGAATTCATGACAAGGCCAGAAAGGTCAAATGAAAAAGGGTCTGCTAAACCATTTTAGTGAAACCCTCCTCTTAAGAAATAAAAAAAATATTCCACTGGCCTATTTTCAAATCGTTTTTGCTTCATAACTTTGAAAGAGCTTATGAGATTTTACTCAAATTCAGTAGGTTAGCATTGATGACTATTATTCCATGGGTGTAAAACTTGATTTTTTGATTACATAACTTGTTCACTACAAAAAAGGCACTCTTGATTAAATTTCATTACTCTCATGGTTTCTACAAAATTCGAATTTTAGTAATTTAAAGCACCAGTTAAAATTGAAACAATCAACAGATATTTCATGAAAATTGTTCAGTGAAAAAAATTGATACAAGCAAATGTACCTCAGTAGATATAGTTGCTCAGTCTGGGAGCTAGACGTTTTTGGCTTCCTCAGTACAAAAAAAAAACAGAAAATAGCTCATAGCACATTTAAATTTTTTTCGTCTTATAAATCTTTGTGTATCTGTTGATTAGTTCAGTGTAAACTGATGCTTTGAATTACTAAAATTCAAATGGACTGGATTTGTTCTGCACGCTAGTAGAAAAAATAATGTACCTACACGTGCGTAAAGTGACTTTTCCGCACGCGATTGCAGATGGCAAAACGACGCCTAGTGGAGTTCGGTCAGCGCCTTACTGTTAGATGCCTGCATCACATTTTATCCGAGTTAATCTTGAAACTAATGGAATTCTTCGGAGTTCAGAGTAAATTGATTGTGATCAGCAGTGAATTACCAATCAACTAATCACCTACATATTGATTTTGAATCATGGTATTTCTTGCACCATCTTGCATATAGGATCAATTCAAGGATTTTATAGACACCTGGCAACAACGGCGTGTTTCCCAGCCGTCAGAAGAAGCTTAGTAGCGTTTGCATTCATTCATCCATTTTCAGGTATTCGCGATTCGCGATAGAAAATAACACGTCGCCCTATCTGACGGCAACAACTTGAACACTTCTGAGCGGGTTTGTTTTGATGTTATGACCAATAAGCACAAACAAAAAACAAATGTGAAACAATGAAAACAAAGTAAACAGGCCTCTTTGACAGCTTTCAAGAACTCCAATAGGTGGCGTACCCTTATTTCCTATCGCGAATAGCAAAGAAGCGTACGTCACCTATCGGAGTTTTTGAAAGCTGTCAAGTTCTTGCCGTCAGGTGAGACAACGTGTTATTTTCTATCGCGAATTGAAATTGAATTTTCAATATCAAATAATTTGTTGTTCGGTATTTTCGATAAATATGTGGAAGAGATAACGTTTTTGAATTCCCTTCATAACATAGCGAAAAGGGGTCAAATTTTACGAGACTGGAAAGGCTCAGTAATCTACTACGGTGGTAATTATTTTCAGAAGTAATATCACGATGTTCTGAATATTCGAGATGATTTTGTTGCTTCATAGTTCACGAAATTGTATTGCCGAGCAACACGTCTGGACGAGTGGTATTGATGTGAGGCAACACAATTGAGTTAGCAATGAGATATAATTATGAGAAGATATTCAGAACATAGTGGTATTTTGTTAGAATATTTCACGTTCACGAAGCATACAAAGCATTTATTATATGAGTGATTCATTCTGGCAAGTAATGCCTTAATTATTTTATGCCAAACTGACAGACTTTGCTATCCATGGTTTCATCCAGACCAGGATGAACAGAAGATGGTCTAGAAACTCCTATCAAATCCCATGTACTGTTTTTCGGTCAAAGTTCTTGACCTACGACCTACTTGACAGAAAGATTATTTTCAATATCGCGGAATATAGGTCGCATTTTACCCGTTAGATGGCGAAATTTCAACCAAGATTCAAGGTTGGTAGAACTGTTGATAATTAAAATTCCCCAAAATTACAGTTTCGTACTTTCAAATTTAAACTGATTTGATTTGAGGTTATTATATTATTATTATTTTTGGTGCAGGCGGTGTGTAAGCGTCCTTTTCTGTTTTCTGTCATGAAAGAAATCTGTAAAAAGTGTCGCCATCTTGCGAACAACTGAGAACTAATATGACATTATTGCGGAATCTGCCCTGTATAATATACTGAACACATAATAACCTCCAAAAGTGAAAAATAAATCTAATGCCGACCTTTCTCTTATCCTCCGTAGGTACGCACGATGTTTAACGAACATGATAGGGACCCCCTGTGCACTGCAAAATATGAATAAATAGTTTATACAAGGGGAAAAAGTAGTAGATTTTAGTCCCACGTTGTGAGCTGAAATCTAATATTTTTCCCGTATATAGTACACAATTTTTTACTGTGACAGGAAAAAGGTCGAATCAATATTGAGAAGATATTACAATATATTAAAAGAAATTTATCAACGTGAAATTTGATGTTTTTACCTGCGTTGAAGGCATCTTCATCATTCTCTTGAAGTACTAATCAAATATCGAAATATCTGACAGTATGGAAGATAAAAGGACGAACTTCTTCCACGGAGACTGTGTTATTGGCTTATTTTTCGGAACTATGGCACAACAAAAGCCATAGTTGTGTACATAAATATATATGTCATATATATCCGGGAAAAAAGTACTCACTTTTTTCCGGTGGGAAAAAATTAATTTATGGAAAGTGACATTTTATAACCTGGCAACAGAGATGGAATTTTATGCTTCTTTCCCGTCACCGAAAAAAATTATATTCATTTATTTTGATATGACTGTCATAGACCGGCAGGTAGTGACAGATATTTCATTTTGGAACACAGGCAGCTTGACTGAAATCATATCGAAACAAATAATGTTAATTAACTTTTCCGTCGACCTCGTATTAACGACTAAGTTTAATGTATATGAAATCGTTCATTAATGACCCCTATTAATGAACGATTTGTCTATTAATACACGATTGTTTTATAGGCAACCAAACATACACCGCGTGCATTCATTGTATATGCTATAACTTACGGAATCTGCATTTAAATCGAAAATATGGATTTCATCGACGATTTTCCGTTAACGGGTTCGCCTTTCCAAGTTTCTGACACGATATTAATCCCTGTTTTCTAACACAAGGAATTTATTTGCTATGTTGATCATTTCGACAAATGTCAAATGTGTCTAATGTCAGTAACAAGACTACTGGGTGATTCTTAGCAGTTTCCGGATGGATGATGAATTCGCGAACCAAGTTTTCTTCATTGCAGGAGAAATGAGAAATATAGTCGACGGAAAAATTTTTTAACCAACTTGTATATTAAAAGGCGATTAATGATCTCGAACATTAACGCACTCGCTTCGCTCGCACGTTAAAATATCTCGATCATTAATCGCCCTCATTAATACACTAGTTGGTTAAATAACTATTAATGCGATAATGGGAGGATTTTTTCAACATCAAAATATATACATAATGATACCCTCCAAAAGGCATACTGGGTGAAATCACGTCCGTAATTCTGACGGTCTATCATTTTTCATTACATTTGTAGAATAAAAAACCTCACATCACTTACATAAACAAGATTTTTTTAATGATTCTGTGCATACTGCCCTTTTCATCTAATCAAATTCGTGTCTTCTACATTATCCGAGAGAATGGACAGAATTCAAAATAAAATAAGTGGACAAAATACCCACTCTGGTACGACATCCCTGTGGTGGCATTCAATTCTGTTTTTGTTTCCACAAATAGACCACCAATCAGGTACTGTTCTAGGCACTTGCTAAGTTCCAATCCAGTCACAAAGTAACCACCAAAACTGGCATAGAAAGCGAAGAATCTCTAATCACAGAATCGGCAGCTCGAGAGACATCCTTGCATTCTCAGATAATCGAATTAGAAAATGAAGTCAAACAGTGCCGCCATGAGCTGGAACGAGTCACAGCCGAAAGAGACCGCATGCTTCAAGAGAACAACGACATGGGCAAAGACAAGGAAGACAGAAGCATGGAGTTCAAAAAGCTACGAGCCGAACTCCGAGAAATCAAATTCAGGGAAAATCGGCTCATCACTGACTATTCGGAGCTAGAAGAAGAAAACATTGCTTTACAGAAACAAGTGTCTGTATTAAGAAGCTCTCAAGTTGAATTCGAGAGTCTCAAACACGAGATTAGGCGGTTGCATGAAGAAATGGATCTGATGAACCTCCAGTTGGAAGAAGTAAGCAACTTGAAAAAAATTGCCGAGAAACATATGGAGGAAGCACTGGAGTCCTTGCAAAGCGAGAGAGAAGCCAAATATGCTTTGAAAAAAGAACTAGACCAACAAATCAATAGAGAGTCATTCTACAATATCAACAACCTTGCATACAGCATCAGAGGAATGGCTGAAGAAGCGAATATCGGGAGCGACTGCGACGACGACATACCTGGCTTGAAACGCATCGAGGCATCTATTTGTAACGAAAACCTGGCGTCTCCTGATGACGCACAAGTAGATCTGTTTTCAGAAGTTCACTTGAATGAGGTCAGAAAGCTGGAGAAACAGTTGGATGCCATAGAAAAAGAGAAAATAACATTGACGCAAAGCTTGAGAGAGAACCAAGGTCTCGTCGAGAAAAGCCAAGGTGAACTACAGGTGTTCATAGCTCGCTTGACTCAGCTAGCAGCTCACGTCGACTCGCTACAGTACCTGTCTCAAAGTGCCGACAAGAATCTGTCCAAACCGGTCGAGGAAGCTACCAAGATGTTGGCTCAATACCAGCAGTGGTTCAAGATGTCTTCCAAGGAAATCGATCAGCTCAAAAATGACATACGCGAGCTAGAAAATCTGACGAATGTCTCGGATGCCACATTGCAGCTCAGAAACGAAATCACCAATTTAAAGAACAAACTCTTGGATTCTGAACAGAAGTGCATGGATCTGGATGCGGATTTGCGATCATTGAGAGAATTTGCTGGTGAGGCTGGGGCTTCTCTGGATGAAACACAGAACAATTTGCAGACAGTGTCAGAAGAAGTTGCCCAACTGTACCATCATGTATGCACTGTCAATGGTCAAACGCCTACCAGAGTTGTTCTTGACCATGAGAAGGAAGGGATGACACCAAGTAAGTTAATCAGGAAGGCTTATTTGTATGATAAGTGTGGGTCATGCTTTCACAGAAGTGGTGGTTTTTATTTTGTTTTGGATGGTAAAAATTTTGAAATTATGATATTTTATTATTGATTCCTTCAGAAAGAAAAAAGTTGAAAAATCCTGCTTTGATTATATCATTAAACAAAAATTGAATTCGCCTCTAGAGTTGCTACTACCTAACTTAACCTGACCTGATTATTCTTGATCCTCTCAGAAAAAATAATGATAAAGTAGGTCGCAATTCCGATTATCTATCTCTCTGTATCCAAGATATTTATCAGAAAACTATTTGTATGCCTCTGAAGTCATGATTTCGATTTTTCATTGAGGTATATCGAGAAAAAAGTTGATGAAAATGGATATTTTGGCCCATTATGAAACTAATTCGTTGAATAAGTTTTGAAAAATAATCAATGAGAATGATAACAAAAGAATTCTACTAATGTTATGTCGAAATTTAGAATTCACTGAAAAGAACAGGAATACAGAATCACTGAAATATAACGAAAAACCCCAAAAATAGAAAATGAAACAAAGTTAATTTTGTACTATTCATGTATTTCTTCGAAACAGTCTAAGCAGATATATTTCTCAGTAGAAACCACGAAAAAAAAAACAGAAAATTCTACTTCCTCATGGTTAGATCATTCATCAACCAAACTATGCAAACATTTTGATTCAAGATACTGCAGAATTGAAATTTCTCAAACGAAAAACCGATACCAGCTGACACATGGACGTAACGTCCATGAGCTGACACGTAAAGATATTACCATATTCTGACGATTTTAGTGACTGAAACAGCTCCTCAAATCGGAAGAATGTCCAAAATAGAACTGCTCAGAAGCCGATTGAAGAGCGACCTACCTCTGCATGATTTAGAAGCACTCAATGACACAGCAGTGCTTGCTAGAAATGTCTCAACTATAGTAGATCAAATAAAATACCTGCGAGGAGCAATAGAGAGCACAATTGAGCTCACAAAAGCAAAACGTGAGACTTCTGACGGATCCTATGAATGTAAGTTCCATACCCAGATTGCGTCGATCGTCTTCGACATTTTATGAAGACGTAAAATGTAAAATGTCGTAGATATTGAAGGCACCCTATTTATACCGAGCCTCTAACGATTTTTTAGCACTACGCGATGAAAACAGCGAGTCCGAGATCCAAGAGCTTCAAGAACAAGTTATTAGACTGAAGAGTTTGTTGTCCACAAAACGAGAACAAATCGCCACACTTAGAACCGTCCTGAAATCCAATAAAAATACCGCCGAGGTGGCTTTAACAAATCTCAAGGGTAAATATGAAAACGAAAAGATTATCGTCACGGAAACTATGATGAAGCTCAGAAACGAACTGAGATTGCTCAAAGAAGATGCAGCCACTTTTTCAAGTAAGTGACCTCAATTATTATTATTATTCATTGTGTCAGTGCATTGATTATAAATATTTCCGAGTACATGGTAACTGGGTTTTGATAATATAAGCGTTCAGCAATGGAGAATAAGATGATTGTGGTTTATATAAACCACGAATCATAAAGGAACATTTTGGGATAATTGAATTTTTATTGCTAATTAGAAATATTACGTGATCAGTCGCGTATTCATTTTCGCCTGTGTTTTCGGTTAGAGGGACGTATTAATTATTTCAGTTTTCATCTTAGTACGAATATCCCAATAACATCGTGTGCTCCTGGAAACGGAAAGAAGCGTTTGGTGCAGGAAGAGAAATGGAAGAATATGTATGATATGATTGGCCTTTCATTCTCTAAATTTCATCCATACTAGTTGTTCCATTTCAACTACTAATAATAAATAATAGAGACATTAGAGCAAGATTCTGAAAAATCAAATATTATCTTATATTCAACAGATTTTTTCGTGGATGATTAGTTGAAGTGTCTTCATCAACGAGACCTGTTAAGAATATTATTTTTTCTTAATTTACTCTCAAACACAAACCAAAAGCACTTCCTACCTTTCCGACATCCATTCATAAAAAAAGATATACTTTTGCAACAATTTGTTGATGAAAGAAATACACGATTTCCATTGAAAATTATACTCAACCACAGATAAAGTGAAACAAGATATTTAAAATCCTTTTCCGTCGACCTCGTATTAACGACTAAGTTTAATGTAAGATGTTTAATGTATATGAAATCGTTCATTAATGACCCCTATTAATGAACGATTTGTCTATTAATGTACGATTGTTTTATAGGCAACCAAACATACACCGCGTGCATTCATTGTTTATGCTATAACTTACGGAATCTGCATTTAAATCGAAAATATGGATTTCATCAAGATTTTCTGTTAACGGGTTCGCCTTTCCAAGTTTCTGACACGATTTTAATCCCTTTTTTCTAACACAAGGAATTTATTTTCTATGTTGATCATTTCGACAAATGTCAAATGTCACTAATGTCAGTGACAAGGCTACTGGGTGATTCTTAGCAGTTTCCAGATGAATGATGAATTCGCCAACCAACTTTTCTTCATTGCAGGAGAAATGAGGAATATAGTCGACGGAAAAATTTTGTAACCAACTTGTATATTAAAAGGCGATTAATGATCTCGAACATTAACGCGCTCGCTTCGCTCGCACGTTAAAATATCTCGATCATTAATCGCCTTCATTAATAAACTAGTTGGTTAAATAACTATAAGTATTGTGATGAGATGAGTTCGCCAAAACAAATCTTCATGGAATATCAATTCAATACTTTGTTCCTAAATGTGGAGGGGATAAAAATTTAGGTTGAAATAAGTTTGTAAAGAAGCGTTTCTGGGTATAACCCATTGTGTATTCATTCCAACTCATTTCTTCAAAGTCCAGGCTCAAAATAATTTTTGATACGGTTCTGTCTCCGTTGCAGTTGTTAGTATCAAAATTCGGAAGTTTCATGCATTCGTTTCAAAACTCTGTATTTGCGCAAGTTTCAATTTCAAAACTCTGTATTTTCGAACAAGTTAATTAAATTAGAAGATCTATATTCCAACAAAAATATCTGTAGTTTCCTTTCGAAAATTCACACAGGAGTAGTGCCTAAGGTCGAGTTCCGATATTACTGAATACTGAATATACTGGTCACAGTCAGTAATAACGGAACGATTTGAGTTTCAGTACTATTACTGTGGAATAACTGAACGAATATCTAGCAGTTTTGGTAGGGATATATCGAGGGATATATCGTTGTTTGGCAGCAAGGTATGAAAATGGGAATAATAAATTTATTGATCTCAAGTTTTATGTATGTATGTATGTATGTACCTACTAGTCTGATAAAAATATATGGATACTCTCGTTCTAGCTGTTACTGCTGAATTTTTCGGATCTTCATCTGATGAATCTATATATATACCATAAATAAGAGAGTTCAGATTATTAGTCGCCCAAGGATATCAAATTTCATCATCCACTTCAATTTCGAAAACTATCTAAAACATTTTCATTACAGACGATCAATTTTTATTCATTGGATGGTTTTAGGTTTGAAATAACAATTTTTTTTTTATATTTGTAAAAATCACTATAAACAATCCAACAACAAACAGCAGATAAAGAGATTAAAGAGGATAATAATAATTTTTATAACCACATTTTTTAGTTTTTCGTGAAGGAGAGGGGATATTACTGGCGCCACATGACCATTTGATGTCAGTAGCGAACAGTGAATTTCTAGCTGCCAGCAGAAAACAGTAATTTCGGAACAGTCTACATTACTGGTCAGTACTGGTTGGGAATATCGGAACTCGACCTAAGAAATTCGATGTGATTACTGCAGATTATGATGAACTAGCAGTTTTTCGCGGTTTTCTCAAAATGACATATGTGGCAAATACAGAGTTTTGATTTTATACGACTCATATCACACAACGACGTGCCGTGTATTTGTATTCCCATTGTCCATCTCAGGCCTTCGAGCTATGTTCGCGGCGCGCTGCGAGGAATACGTGACGCAAGTGGACGAGCTGCAGCAGCAGCTGAGCGCCGCCGAGGAGGAGAAGAAGACGCTGAACCAGCTGCTGCGGCTGGCCGTCCAACAGAAGCTCAACGCCACGCAGCGGCTGGAAGAGCTCGAGGTCGACAGGGAGATCCGCAACGCGCGCAGGCCCAACAACCGCAACTACCAGCGGCCGGGCAGGTCGACGCGAGACATGTTCTAGCAAAGGACGAGGCCTCTGGTCTATGTGGTAGCTTTCGTTGCGACTCTGTTCAAGTTATAGAAGGGAGATATTTTTGACGGCAGGATATTTTAACAGAGAATCTGGTCCAGTTTCTTGAACTGTGATAAATGTACTTTCAAGCTCCAACCCTTTTTTCGGTGGGTATTGTATGGAAAAGTGGAATCTGATTGAAAGAAAAGCTACATTATTACATTATTTCTTATTCTCACCAATGGTAGGACGCCGGAAGTTACTAGTGAGGTTGGGGGCGGTGTCACATGTCATCTACATGGTATGGAATACATGAGAAATCATATAAATAAGAAGTGAGGTTAAATGTTGATTACAGATATCGACAGTTGGCATGACCTTCAACCACACCAAGTGCCATCTTCTTCAAGTTACCTGCCATTTTGTATTGAATCTATTCCTATACTTATCTTCACAGACTATTTACTGAATGTATGCAAGATTTCAATGATAACTACGAGGCCTCTGGTCTATGTGGTCGCTTTCATTGCGATTGTTCAGGTTATAGAAGGGGGATATTTTTGACGGCAGGATATTTAACAGAGAATCTGGTCCAGTTTCTTGAACTGTGATAAACAAACGTACTTTCAAGCTCCAACCCTTTTTTCGGTGGGTATTGTATGGTAAAGTGGAATGTGATTGAAAGATAAACTACATTATTTCTTATTCTCACCAATGGTAGGACGCCGGAAGTTACTAGTGAGGTTGGGGGCGGTGTCACATGTCATCTACATGATATGGAATACATGAGAAATCATATAAATAAGAAGTGAGGTTAAAGTTGATTACAGATATCGACAGTTGGCATGACCTTCAACCACACCAAGTGCCATCTTCTTCAAGTTACCTGCCATTTTGTATTGAATCTATTTCTATACTTATCTTCACAGACTATTTACTGAATGTATGCAAGATTTCAATGATAACTACGAGGCGTCTGGTTTATGTGGTCGCTTTCGTTGCGACTCTGTTCAAGTTATAGAATGGAGATAGTTTTGACGGCAGGTTATTTTAACAGAGACTCTGGTCCAGTTTCTTGAACTGTGATAAATGTACTTCTAAACTTCAACCTTTTTTTCGGTGGGTATTGTATGGTAAAGTGTAATGTGATTGAAAGAAAAGCTAGATTATTTCTTATTCTCACCAATGGTAGGATGTCGAGAGTTACTAGTGAGGTTAGGGGCGGTGTCACATGTCATCTACATGATATGGAATGCATGAGAAATCATATAAATAAGAAGTGAAGTTAAATGTTGATTACAGATATCGACAGTGGCATGACCTCCAACCACACCAAGTGCCATCTTCTTCAAGTTACCTGCCATTTTGTATTGAATCTATTTCTATCTTCACAGACTATTTATTGGATGTATGCAAGATTTCAATGATAACTACCAGGTCGGGCAGGTCGACGCGAGGCCTCTAGTTCATATAGTCACTTTTGTTGCGACGCTTTTCAAGTTATAGAAGGGAGATATTTTTGACGGCAGGATATTTTTACAGAGAATCTGGTCCAGTTTCTTGAATTGTGATAAACGTACTTTCAAGCTTCAACAATTTTTCGGTGGGTACCTATTGTATGGTAGAGTGGTATGTGATTGAAAGATAAACTACATTATTTCTTATTCTCACATCAATGGTAGGATATCAGATGTTACTAGTGAAGTTTAGGGCGGCGTCACCTGTCATCTACATGATATGGAATAAATGAGAACTCATAAATATGAAGTGAGGTTAAAATGTACCTAAATTCTCTGCTGATTACAAATATCGACAGTAGACACGACCTCCACCACACGAGTGCCATCTTCTTCAGGTTACCTGCCATTTTGTATTGAATCTATTTCTATACTGATCTTCACGGACTATTTACTGGATGTATGCAAGATTTCAATGACATCTTCCAGAGACGCGTGACATATTCTAGCAAAGGCTCAACAGTTTATACGGTCGCTTTTGTTGCGACTCTGTTCAAATTATAGAAAGGAAATATTTTTGACGGCAGGATATTTTTACAGAGAATCTGGTCCAGTTTCTTCAACTGTGATAAATGTACCTTCAATCTTATTTCGGTGGGAATGTGATTGAAAGAAAAGCTGCGTTGTTTCCTATTTTTACACCAATGTTATGGATGTCCGGTGTTACTTGTGAGGTTGAGGGCAGTGTCATCATCTGTCATCTACATGAAAAATCAAATAAATAAACAAATATTGATAGTTGACATGACCTCCAACCACATGGGTGCCATCTTCTTCAGGTTACCTGCCATTCTGAGTTGAATCTATTTCAATACTGATCTTTACATACTATTCACTTCATATGTGCAAAATTTCAATGACGAATTTTATTGACTGAAAAATTAAATGGATTTCTGAAAGCTTCTCTTTCAAGTAATAATATTAAAAGTAAAACTTCAGTAATTTAATGTTGAGTTCTCAAGTAGTTTTATTTTGTCATTATAAATTACTTAAACGTTGAATGCATTTCTTTTGGTAGTGACATATGATGCCATAAAATAAAATTATTGTAGCATCAATTAATCAGTTCATTATATTGTGAGAAGTAGAAAGAATTTATTTATACTAGAAAATGTATAACATAGGTGATATCTATTTATTTGGTAGGAAATTAGAAAAGATCAAGAGGAAGGCATGAAGATGAATGGCCAATCTTCGCCTTCTGTAGTAACCGTACTTATACTTTATGTGATCGTAATTTTCAATATCAATGAATCTTTCAAAGTATTGATCACTTTGCTGCAATTTGAAATTGAAAGACATAAGATTTTTGAAATGCTTTGAACATAAATTCAATAAAGAAGCGAATACAAAAATACACTCAAAATACCACAATAATATTTAGAAAAGCCTTAATAGGTACGTATTTCGGCAACTATGTTTCCATTAGAACTGTAAAAGAAATAGAGATTAGCTGACTATATAGTCTCAGTTCAGATAATTTCTGGAGAATATCCGGAAATATATTAGTCGGTTAATTTTTTTAAGTTCTAGGTAGTTTATTCTGAAATTCATTTTATCAGTGATTAAGCAACAGAGGCTAACATTTGCGTATTTCAATATTTTGTATCATGAAATCGTTCTTGAGATCCTTTTTTTCTTCTGAAAGTCGCAAGTGTGGAGCTGTTAAATCTATTTCTTATCAATTTACTTGTCTTGCAGTTCCAAAGAATCGTTTGTTTGATTCAATGATAGACCGTTTTATAATTATATACGTGTTATAGTTTAAGTTTTCCCTTATTAAGTTATTGTTGATGCATCAAAGAAATTTAGTATTTAGAATAATCATTGTATAAGAATATATACAAACATGACTAATGGAACAAAAAATTGTTCCATTTATAAGGGATGTCAAATCCTGGACCTGTTTAAATTAGGAAATGTAATTTTCATAATATATTTTCCGTTGGTTCTGAGTCCATATTGTAATAATAATAATAATAATATTTTATTATTTGTCCTCTCTCCGAGCCTATGGACCACGGAAAGTCCCGTCCTTTTGAATATTAATTATTCCTGAAACATTAACTATTAAATTAACTACAATTCAGGAAAAACTATCATTTACAATATTTTTATACTGAATGTCAAAAAGTAGTTGAACAATATTTCTCCTGCATTAGCTGAGTTATTTTACCAAACTTGCAAGAAAAATATGACCACAATAACAAACATTGAGTATTCCAAATGTTTTTTCATGGAAACCAATATCACATATCATGCTTTTGCATCTAACAGCTATTGTAAATGATATGTTTTTTATATAGATTTCAAAAATTATTTATTCTACATTATTTATTGTATTTTGTTGATTCAAAACTCATTGCTTTTATGTGGTTGATGTTACTTGGTTGTACCTAATATTTTTAATAAACTATTTGAATATACTTTTAACTTGAATTTTCATTTGCCTGCAAAAAACTGATTCCCAAAAATCGGCCAAACTTTTAAAAGTTGGCTTTCTCTGGAACATTTTATTTGGTTTCATGATTTTTAGAAAATTTGTTGATTCATCAGTATTGATATTGTCACAATAATTATTCAGATTTTAGCTGGATAATATATTTTCCGTGACTGGATCATATACAGGGGCAAGATGGGAACCTGTACCTGTCCTTTTTGCAGGGCAGTCTGTGATGATTGAAAACTAATAAAAAAGTTTCCATACATAGCAAAATTGGCGTATATCAACTTTTACAGTTCAAAAGTCAATACTAGATAAACAACCATCGGACAGGAAACAATATTTGAAGATTTATTGTTACATTGAACAGAAAACTACTTTCCTGGCTAATACCACTCCCAATGCAGATCTATATTTGTTGAATACCTACTGCAAGAATTCAAAAATTAATATATCGCTGCCTCTACAGAATAGTGACACATTTCAAAATTGTTCTTTTTTCAGGAGAGCATTTTTAAAATTACAAATGTTGATATTTCCTAGAAGATTGTTTTGGAATTGCTATTATGTTTTGAAATATGTCGTTATTCTCTAGAAGTAACACAAAAAGGTCGGAATTTGATGAGTGAAGAATAATGATACTTGCGCCATCTCTCGTAGATAATTTGAAATATGCGTATAGGTCATTTTTTCTGATAAACTTGATAAAGTTTTGAGGGATATCTTGATTGAACTTTTTTTTCAATCACAATCATTTGTATAGTTTCTGAAGAATAGAGTATTTGGTCAATGTCATTTGGCATGATTGTTTCTTTTGCATTTGAATGATCCTCCACATTATCAAGAGATCTTGATAATTTATGTAACACTACATATGGCTAATGATTATAAATTATATATTACAAATACATAAAAATAAGTACCTACATTCTGGATACATCAAAAAACCTATACCTTATAAAAAGTGAATGATAAAAATAAATATATGTTCAATGTCATTTTGTGATAGCTATAGCTACAAAACTCAATAGAAAATGCCTAGTAGACTTCTATGCTACTTTCTACCTTCACTATATATTCATTAGGACATCAACAAATTCACTGTCATTGTAAAATAATAAACCTGAGTCATTATTATCACTGTTATTACCTAATAATCAGCTTATGTCTGCTATTTGCATGCACTCCTTGTGCTACATGAATAGGATTAGTAGAATACAACCTTATAGGTAAGCTCCACACCATGGTTTCTATGGGAATTTCTGAGGGTGCTTGCCAATTGGTATCCTCAGGTGATGGTGGGTTTAAGCCCTTGTGAGTAGTTGTAACAAATTCAAAATGTAACCTCCAATTCAAACTCACTGGAAATTTCAAATATTAGTGAATAAAAGTGATTAAACTATAAACTGGAGGACATATTATAAGAATGTTGTCCTATCATTGAATTCCTGACCAGATCACCCCTCAAGAAAAAAATCCAATATACAAGGTAGTTTTTAGTAAGGTTAAATACTTGGTTAAAGATGCAAAAAACAGATTATATTATAACTTTAGACTATAATGACCTAGAGAAAAAATTGAATCAGTGTAAAAGCACTAGGTACTTGATACAATTTTTCAGCTCATCAGTTCTAGTGTAATATCTCTTAAGCTCTGAAGAAAACTGTAGTTATCTACTCACCTAAATTGGTAGTGAAAGCAGGTGTAACATGGAGAGGTATTGGCAAGATCAACTGTGTGTACTTATAACCTAAACAAACTTCATGGTGGTTACTGAAAGTACTGATCTTGACCTGCTTATCACTGTCCTTATTCACTTTGACCAAAGTTTCCTCCACACATTGCAGAGACACAGATACTTGCACACAGTTGACTGTTGCAACAGTAAAATCAAAGGTTCCTATTATGTCTTCACCTAGCCTATAAGCTGGTTTAAATAGGCAGAATCTAGTGACTTTTCCAAATACATTTGTTATCATGTAAAAATTGGGATTACGTCTAGCAGTTATATTCTGAAATGAAATCACAATGACCAAACATCATACAACACATGAACTTTACAAGAAATAGTAGGTATACCTATTTTGTAGAAATGGCAATAGTTCTTTTTCATCATTTTCAACTTTTGTATTATTTGACAATGAAGCAGAATGTGAAAACTCACTTGTAAACTTTGAAGAGCTAGATCAAGTGGTTTTTCCTTTTGCCTTATCTCAAGGAAAGGATTAGCTGGAGTTAATTCTTCTGTTGTTTCATTGCAAAGAGCAACAGCTTCACTCATGAGTGCCTCTCCTAATGGCAACACTCTTATTGGAACTCTCAATAATTTTACAGGACTATTGACCCTTTGTGTTCCTATAGTTATTTTATAAGAATACTTCACCAGCTGCCCTCTATAAGAAGGGGGTGAATCACTAGGAATTTTTTCTCTGTAAATAACTACAACAGAACATCAAGTTAATGAGCTACAGAGTACAGATCAATGTTAACAAACATAATTACATGTTTTTGACTGCCCAGGTGATAATCTGAGATCACAAAACAGTATTTTTGGCCGTGTAGCAATCTCGATTTTTCCATTTTCTTGGGTGGTAGCCCCAAGTGCAGTATCAGCATATGTTGATAGACCAGATCTATCTTCTTTGTTTTCTCTACTTCCTGTGAAACACTGACAATGTATCTGAGCAGAAGCCCAGGCTAAGCTTTCAAATACATCAGCAAAGCTTTGAGATAGGATGTGGTTGGGAGAAGGTGGATGGAAAAATGTGACACTACATTCTACTACTTCTCCAGATAAGAAAACGTGTCCGTGATGAAGTCTCGCTGATACCTCAATCATTTAAAGTGATGCCTGATGATCCCCTAATCACAGCCTGTTTAAGCAGTGACCCCTTTCAATCTACACCCTATATTCTCGAATTTTAAAAAAATTCTGATTATAATATTATGAAATTGACTTGTTATTTTGTTTTGACATTTTCTTTCATAACCTCTTTTTTTTATTTTCTTCTGTTTTTTTCTAGGGTCTCGTATCCCATGGAAATTTCCAGTTTCTAGCAAGGTACTCTTGTCCTTGTAAACCTTACATAGTGGAAGGAGAAGATAACCTCTAATTAAATTTTTGTTGATTTTGTTATTTTTATCGTCTTCATCTTCATCTGTGATTAATGTGATTTGTTATTACTTTTTACCGATGGAGAAAACTCCTGTACTGAAGACAAAATTGTCCAGCATTCAAAACCACAGGGCAAAAGGTAAGTTTTCATGTTATTCATATTCTTCAGCTAATTCCAGGTATGTTTCTTCAGATATTAAAAATATATCATTTTCAAAAAATGATTTAAACAGTGTATTCGAGATGGACAACGAAGAAAGTCCTGTACAAATAGCTTGTACCCAAGATGGATCTGAAAACATTGATGTTGTTTGGGATTGGAATTCTCCACAAGCCAAGAAGCACCCCAAAAAGTGTCAGAAAAGGTTGCTACTACCACAGTCACCAAAAATACCACTGAAGAAGTTCCCTTCTAATAACTCCATACAGCATTTTGAGAAGCTGAGGGAAGAACTGCAAGCATTGAGGCAAGAAATTGCTTTACCTGAAAATGAAGACAGTCTGAGACTATCTCCTAGAGAAGAAGCAGACTACAAAAATATACATAACAGTCCAGTCAATAAAGTATTTGATGATTTTGATGATGAATGTTTTGATATGTTTGATGATAAACTCATTGAATTCAGTGAAAATATAGAAAACAAGTTCACTGTGTCAACCAATGAAGAACAACCCAAATTCAAAAAAATTCATTCAGAAGAGAATGTACTTGGAGTGAACAGTGCTAATCAAAAAATATCTTTCAAAAAAAACATTAGTGAATCACATATGAAAATAGCTAATGACTCTTTTGAAAGTTTACTAGGTGATATTGATGTAGAAACATTAACATGTCCAATTAGTGAAAAAGTTGATTATTCTAAACATTCAAATGCTGTAAAAACCAATTCATATGAAACTAGATCTAATAAGTTAACAGATCTATTAACCCAAGTTGATAATTCAAAAACTATTGTAAGAGTTGATGAATATGAAATGGGGTCTAATATTTATCACACAAACTCAGGAAAAGTGGAGTTTCATCGTACTCAAAGCTTTGAGCTCACCAATTCAGAACACTCAACAGGTATTTATAAAAATTCTATTCAATGAAATGTATATTGATAAGTTTGAATTTTCAGATCTTCCCAGATGTAAACTAGAAGAAATTGAAAAAAAACGTAGAGAAGCTAGAGCCAAATTAGAATTGAAAAGAAAACATGATAAAACAGCCAGTAAGTTGAACACCTATGAAGATTTATAATAAGTTAACCATACTTGGTTTCAGTATTATCTCAATCCCAATGTTCTATGACAGAAATTGAGAATAAAAGACTCCAGGCATTGGCAAAGTTAGAGGCAAAACGCCAGCAAGATATTATTGAACGTAAAAGACAAGAGGCATTAAAGAAATTACAAACAAATAGAAAAAAAAATGCATTGGTTGTGAAAAGTTCACTAACTAACAGACTTGATTAAGTGAGTTTTTTGTATGAAGGGTATATTAAACAACTTACATTATTTAAATTTTATAAATAATTAATTTACAAATATATAGATGAATATAATACTGCTCATTTCACTGAAAAAATATATAATTCTTTGCTGACTGCAATATTTCATAATATCTACCCCTACAGGTATTCAGTTAAATAAATTTAGTTGAATTAACTGAATGTAGTTCTGTTGATACTTGACAACAACAATAAAGTACAAATAAGAGGAATAAAGTTCTATCCAATGTATCTAAAATAAAAAAAAAATTGTTTACAAGAATCATATTGAAATTGTTGCTAAGTAATTATTATTTCTTACCAGAGTAAATTCTGTTGACAAAACTGTATCCAACTTCTGTTCCACCAAAAAAATAAAAATTAGAAATGGCAGAAACTGCTAGCAAAGGGGCTGCTATCATACAGTTCACTCTAGTTTTCCAATAGCTTTCTTTCAATCCTTGTTTATGAGGTAGCCCTAACATATTTTCAAAAATGATACCAATGTAGTTGAGAGCAGTCCATATCAATATATTTTTTTCCAATCCATGCCAAATATAGACATAAGAAAAACAAACTAAACTACTGATTGGTTTATAAGAACCAACTCTAGTCAGGGGAATGTAGATATGCCTGAAAAAAATATTTAATTATGAAATATTGATTCAAGGAAAAAACAGTATATCACAAAGTCGGTTGACCACAAAATTTATATTAACAAATCAAGTTTGTGTGACTAGTTTCGGCTCAACGGCCATCTTCAGACACATAGAAAAAAATTTGGACCAGTTTGAGAAGGATGGATGGTTTCCATGACTCAAATAATTGATTGACAAAAAACATTGTTTACCTCAGAAGATACTTGTATAGTCCAGGGTCAAAATATTTCCACATATCTGAATACAAGTGTATTCTCCCAATGCACCTGGGTAAGTGGGGTACATTAATATTTTCAAATGAAGCAATACTGGTACTCAAGCCATAAATGACTATGTATTTCAAATGAAAATATTGGCCCATGGTATAGCCAAATCCATATAGAGACCAGCTGTCTAAATTATAGATGAACTAAAAAATGCAGCCAATGATTTTAATACTACTACTTTTACTGTTGAAATAATACCTTTGGATGAAATGATGAAGCATTCACATACACAAAATGTAGACAAATATTAACAAAACAGAACCAGAACAGGGTTTTTATTATATTCACTATGAATTTTTTAAATCTACTCTGAAGTGGGGCAATGAAATCTTGTTTGTAAATTTCTTTGAAATCTTCATATAGAATGAATGGACCACTAAAAAATGTTGGTGGATATAAGCAATAGGATAGTAAGTCTAAAGCATGACTTGAACTTGGTTGTTTTTCTAGATTGAAACTTGTACATTTTAGATTCAACCAAAATAATGTTACAATGAGAATATTTGTCTCACATTCTCCTAGTTTAAGGAGGTCCCAAATATATTCAACACCCATTGCCTTGAGGATTAGAAGTCCTACTATAGTGGTACATGAAACCAGCCAAATATGGGTAGTTTTACTTTGGGGGCTTATCAATGTCAAAAAAATTAGTGGCTGAATTAAAATAATAATGAGAGTGAAAAATCCATAGTAGAATAATATGTAAAATGATATGAAACAAATCTGCCACAATTGTAAAATCTAAAATCAAAAAATGATTAAACATGTATTCAAAAAATGATAGGGGAGCTACCTTTTTGGAAAAATAAACATTTTGACAAATCACAGCAACAGTGAGATAAATGATTATCCAAGGATAAAAAGTAACAATAAGGGAGTTGATACTTTCCCACTCTATATCTGCTTTATCTCTTCTACCAGACAAATATGATATCCCTTCAGAAAAATCATTATATTCATCTTTATAATTTTTGAAGTCTACAATAAAATATGTAATGAATGGAATATAACATAAAACAATGAAATCAGTACAATTGTAGCTACTCCCTGAGAAACAGTACATTGAAAATAATACAGAATATATCCAAACTGAAAAATGAACAGTTTTCTCCAAAATACACAACATCATTTTTAATATTTTCATGAATCCCTGTTCATGGTCTGCCTCTCAGACGAATTCGTCTGAGGTCTGCCTAGACGTCCAGTAGTTCCAAAAAATTAGAACGTGGTAACAGAACTACTGAGCTAAGCTAATCTAAAGCAATGATCTTCCTCTGGCTAAAATGTTTACTTGATATATGCCCAGTAGCCCCAGGCGTGCCCCACTTGGGCTTCTCAGGCTTCTCTTACAGTTTAACCTCACAAGTTCACCACAACAACAACAACACAACCGGTTTACTTTAACCTCAACATCACAGAACAAAACCGTCAAACTCTTCTTCTTCTTTAAAATACTGTGTTACTTTTATGTTTCGTGAAATGACAATGACAGTTTGTTTCTGTGAATTGACAATATTTTTGGATTAATGAAGGATTAATGGAATGGATTTGGAATTTAATTTTCAGAGTTGTACTGTTATTTCGGGGTCTGCTGTAGGAATGTTGAAAGACCAAACAAATGTTTATTTTTAGAAAATTTATTTCCTCAAGTGGGTTTCTGTTCTGGTCAAATAACATGTGAATTGTGAAATGACTACCCGGAATCCTACAACTTTAATGGCAATACCAAACGAAGAATCTTTTGATTTCCTTTTCAAGATTGTTTTAATTGGGGATTGTGGCACTGGCAAGACTTGTGTGGTGCAGCGCTTCAAAAACGGAACATTTATAGAAAGACATGCAAATACCATAGGCGTCGATTTTTCAATGAAAACTGTAGTAGTGGACAATAAAAAAGTCAAAGTAAGTACAGATTCTGCTCTTAATAATATAATCTTTGATATTTATACACCTATTTGCACTATGAAGTGCACTTCAGAATCAAATCACTACAAAATGCATTTTCTAGTTACAGATTTGGGATACTGCAGGTCAAGAAAGATTTAGGACTATAACCCAAAGCTATTATAGATCTGCCAATGGTGTGATTATAGTTTATGATATAACAAAAAGATCATCATTCTTATCTGTTACTAGATGGGTTGAAGAAGTTAGACGTTACTCAGGAAATTCTGTTCTACTAGCTTTGGTTGGCAATAAGGCTGACCTAGAGACATTGAGAGAAGTGGAATTTGAAGAAGCTGAAGCCATGTGTCAATATATGCCAGAGGTGCTCTTTGTTTTGGAAGCTAGTGCTAAATCAAATGCAAATATTGAGGAAGCTTTTATATACCTTGCCACTGAATTAAAGGTTGGTCACTATAGAAGCTTGATCCTATTAGCCTGTGAGATTTCAACATTATTCTTCTTATTTGTAGAGGAGACATGATCATGGGCTGTTGAATCAAGACAGTGAAGAAGAGACTGTTAAACTTGGGGAGAGTAGAAACATTTCAAGATGTTCCAGTTGTTCTAAGGGTGTTTTTTAACTTGTGATTCATCTACTGGTGTGCCTTATTTATACTCAACCATATTTATTTTTCAAAAAACAAATTTTATGATCTGATCAGGATATTATTCTTATTGGTTGGATTGATTGTTAAATGAATAGATTCTTTGTTGAAACTTCAGTTGGAACATAAAAGACAAGCCAACCATGACAAGCTAACCAAATTAGCTTACTTGATTACTCATTTTTACAGTGGTTTTCATCAATCAAACTTGAATTCATTCATAATAGTGGAAGAAATTATTGAGAAATATTTGCATATTGATGCAATAAATAATTGAGTTGTTGAAATATTCAAATACTCCAAATACTTTGATATTAAAGTGTTTGGTATTTTATTCATGAATATCATTGAAACAAAAATTTGAGTTGATATTGAAAGTGATAGCTGGCTAATTTTTTGAATATGAGTATTATTGATATTGTTGAACAAGAAATTTTTAGATGTAAGGTGATGTAATGATAAAATATTTATTAATCAAGACAAACTCATTTCATTATAAATTATATATTACATAACATTAGAGCTATACAAAACCTAAATTGTAGTGACATATAATATCTACAAAATTAAATATACTTATATAAAGTTTCAACTATTTACATTTGAGCAATTCTTTTACTTGTCCAAAATCAATATTACTGACTTAGTTTAGATCACACCCGTTTTTATTTTGTATCACTCAATTCCTTATAGTCTATTGGACTATCTACCTATGTATTTTGCTTATTGTAAGCACCTACATATTTATGGAGGGATTATAGGTAACTTTTGAATCTCTAGGTACATCTTCATGTGGTGAGTCAATTTCTACTTCATTATCCTCCATGTCCCTGGAAGAAATAGTAAATGACTATAATCTACCTATATATGATCATCAATATTGAAATATTTTATATGAAAGTTTTGAAATGATTGTGATTACCTATAATGATTGTGTTTTGGTATGAACAAAGATTTTGGACAATCTTTCATGTATGGCCAACATTCAGATGGTCCTTCTTTTCCTATTCCTGCATTCTCTGCTTCCACATATTCTTCCAACATTTCTGAATAGGGAGATTTGCTAGCACTAAAACAAAATATGTTTGATATTTTGCATAGAATTTTCATCATTTGCAATCTTCATATAGGTGCCTCAGATTTTTATAGAAAAACAGTTTCTTCACGAGAAAATACATATATCAAGGTGTCCATCAAGTATATCTGCAAGATGCAATATCTCTTATCACTTTTACTATGTATTATCAGCTTCTCTTCATAAAAAACTTTGCAATATCCACCTATATGTTTTATGAATATCTCAAATGTCCTTCCACCGATTTTCTTGAAATTTGGCAGTGATATTTTTTGTCATGAGGGGCTATATAGCCATAATTCAATTGCGATTATGAAATTCAGTGGCGTCCCGGGGGGCAACCTACCGAATATTATTGTCAATAAAATGTGAGCCACTGATATTTTGAATTCTGTATCTTCACAACCTATTGACCAACTAAAATCACAACGTTTTGGTTTCTTGAGTAGTTTTGATAATTTGCTTCATTTCCATGGAAAAAAGTAAATACCAATTTATTGCATAAAGTGCCAAAAAATTCCTTCAAAAACTGGGGTGAAAATAAATGCGTGATCAATGTCCATAGACATAGAATAAGTATGTAGATTAATTCCTCCAAATATTTCTTGATACATGTTCGACACACTCTCTACACTCTGTATATTGAGAAGTATGTATATATATTCTCGGTCCAGGAAGGCGTAGTTTTCGATAATTCAAATGAGTGTGTCAAACATGTATTATAAAATATTTGAAGGAAATGAATCTTGATTCTTATTCTACGTCTATGGACATGGATCACACATTTAATTTTACCCCTGTTTTTGAAGCAATATTTTCCACAAGTATATACAATGAATTGGTATTAATTTTGTTTCCACGGAAACGCAGCAAAATAGCAAGAGACCAAAATGTTGAATTTTTAGTTAATTATTAGGATATGGAAATGAAGAATTCAAAAAAATCAATGGCGCACATTTTATTGACAATAAATATTCGGTAGGGTGCCACCGGGATGCCACTGGATTTCACGATTTCAATTTAATTATGGCTTAATCAGCCCCTCATGACAAAGAATATCATTTCCAAACTTTAAGAGAATTGGTAGAAGGATATTCGAGATATTCATGATAAACCGATTTTTTCTAAAGAAGTTCAACACACTGTATCTTGAAAACTATGTATTTCCGGGCCCAATCACTCCCCTTGATTTTTTGCGCATAATTTCCGGACACCCTGTATAAAAGTTAAGCAAGTCAACGTTGGTTTAGTTCATTGTACCAGTATATATATATATATATATCACCTGACAAAGCTACTGTGTTAGCGAAACATGTTGTTTAAGAATTTTGTGAAAATAATCTTATTGTTTGTGAAGTTTTTACATATATCTAGAAAATAACAAAAAATAACCTCTCCACTTTACAAATTTAAATCTAAGATGCAGTGATAATTATTTCAAGATAATAATAAACAACCACAACGTCATTACCACAAAATGTGTTGTTGAAAAGATCGTCATCGAGTAACATCGTCTCAGAGAATCCTCGCATGAATGTGCCCAATGTGCTTAAAAATGAGACATTTATTGTCTCAAACACTTCCACAGTGACTATACGGATATATGATTTATTTGGGCAATTTTTCCAAATCTCAATTTGTACAACACAATTAATGAAATACGTACTTGATGACTTGATGTCGCGGACATTTCGATGCAAATAAGAGCGGGAGGAGATGTTTTCCGTACATCGCACGCGGATTTTAGTTGCAAAATTACTCGCATAGTACTTTACAGTTACTGCCCTGTGTTTTCTGGGTGTTCATTTCCCTTTAGAGATTGTTGATAACACTGTATAATTTCTCTTAGATAAACGTCAATCAATGGCTAGATATTTATTGCCTCACCTGAAGAACAATTTCAGCATTTCCCCGAGCAACCCGAAATTCCTCATGGGGTGCGCATGGACCTCACAAATCGCCCTCAATAAACAGGCTTTCCCGTCCATCCCGAAATTCTCCAGGAACTCCTCCACCATAACGTACAGCAGCGCCCTCTCTCCACCGTGGAAGGCGTCAGCGTAAGAGTCGGCAGGCTTTTCCTCTATCGATCTGTATATCAATAAACATCCATGAAGAAGGTTTCAGTAGTTGACAACTGAAGGGGCGAGTTCTGAGGTATGAGTATCAAAAATGCCCATTGCACTCACTGACATATAACTCTATCTAGAACTCTATATTGTCCCGAGTATTTTATTTCGAACTATGAGGGTTTTATAAAGATAGAGTTGATCAAATCATCCGTTGACATTGAATTGAAAACTGACCAAGGAACTCTCATGAGAAACGTGCGAATCTAATAAATTGATGTATATAAATATTGGACGTGAGGGTCCCGAAGTTAGTCTGGTCTGGGGCTACTCTTGACTTGACAAGAGCTCGTAGTAATGGTCATTATTATGTAAGTTGTTATCAGGTCTTTATCAGTGGCGGCTCGTGACTTTCATGACAGAGGAGGCTGAATGATATGAGATTTATTGTGTAAAACAACTCTCTACGACTCACCCAATTCAATAGCTTTAATGACATTCTGTTTACCAGTTAACCTGACCTTAATACTTGAAGAGATGTGTTCCTGTGATTTGCAGTGTTTATCCAATCCGCGAGGCAAATTTTTCAAATCCTTATATCCTAATCGCCCCCAACATGATGACTTATCGGTTGAAAATAATACGCAGTACCAACAAAATAGCTTATTCCTTGCCTCAGATCCCGTCAACCAGATATATTTTTTATAATTATCAGAATTGAACAAACAATTTTGTTTGTTTTACCTGTTATAATCAGATTTTTTAATTCCGGTGTCGGACGTTTTTTTTTCACAATCAATTTATCTTCATAAGACAAAGCACTGAATGGGTTCACCAAAAAGTATTCCACTAAATCGCAATCGTTTAAAACACTCATTTTTCAGAAATTTATAGAGCCCCTAACCATCAACCTAACATAAACATAAACATAAACAATGCACTCGCACTGGATTGTCCGCAATTCGCGACGCGACACGACAAACACGTGCTATTCGGGCGTATTCGGGCATTTGCATTGCGCGCGTGGGTTGCGCGTTGTGAAGAAGTCTAGCCTCCTATAGATGTTGCCAAGTTGAATATTTTAAGCTAGATTTGCAGACTTCAACGTGTGATGCGTGGGCAAGCACTGTTGCCAATTCAAAAATATTTACCTAAAAACAGGAGAAAAAATCAAAATCCATGTATTTTGGTGTCCTTTTAATGAGAAAGCATAGATAATATCAGTTTAAGGAGAATCTCTGAGGAGGCTCAGCCTCCGTGTCCACCTCTGAGGAGCCACCACTGGTCTTTATATTCATTGTTGTTCATTCATATTTATCATCACTATCCATAATGTTTCATGCTTCAATACATATTATTATGTTTGTATATAGTCTCGTACTTTCAGTTACCCCTGAACTATTAGTCGTGCCTATTCGAATATTACCTCCCGCAAACTATTAAGCCAAGCATTACCCTTTATGAATTGATATGTATGAACCAACATCTAATTTATCGTGACAATATGTCATCATATCCCAACAACCCGATAATCTCATACAAATTGCTCGCCTGAAAACGCTTATTCTGCTCAATACTCAGGCACTCACAAACTGTGGTTCATGACATTGAGTCACATTACTTCACTTAAAACAGACTGACTCCAGAGATATTAGAGGGCATCACATTCATGCCACACATATCGCATCTGTGACTCGAATTGAGAGTCCCACTGAAATCACAATGACAACTGCTATTTCGGACCCTTTTGGTCATTTTATGATTCACATTATGATGCCAAATGAAACCCCAATAAACTTATAGCAGAACCATTTCAGATTTGCAATAGTCCTATAATTTATTACTATATTCGCGAATTCTTCATTTGACAGAAAATACCAACGGCTCTGCTAGCTTTATGTCAACCTAGCAGAACAATAGCTGAACATTTATTTATTTGAAAACTTCAAATATAATATGATTTATTACTATTCAATTAATAATTTATAACTATAATCACAAAATGTCAAGTACTCTTCATTCGACAAAAAAAAAACGCCGATTTGTCAATCTCGATCTCAACCTAGCAGAACCAAATCTCTAATCACATGTTATTAAAAATTCTATCGAGTTATCAAATTACTAGTTTATTACTAATTTATTTCCACATTCGCAAATTTGCAACCCTTCTTTCATCAAAAAAATCCAACGGCTTTGCTAGCTTTACGTCAACCTAGCAGAACCATTGCTAAAAATATCTTCTTGGAAAATTTCAAATATACCATAATTAATTATTTAGTAACTAACTAATAACTATAATCACGAATTTTGTACTCATCATTCGATGAAAAAAAAGCCGATTTCTCAATCTCGACCTGAACCTAGCAAAACCAAAACTCTTATCCTGAAATGTCTTATTAAGTATCGTTCCTGTAAAGATACCGGGTGACCAGTTATATTCTGACCTATTTCAAATAATGCTCATATCTCTGAAACCATTCAAGTTATCGTTGTGCGGTTTGGACTAGTCTATTTTGATGTTTTTCAAGTTTTTTTTGACGTGTTCATCTTCTCACTTGAACTTCCGGTTCTACCGGAAACAAACAACAATCCAGGTATAGGACAACTTTTTTATTTCATTGAATCACCCTGTATATTTTTGCACATTCAGAAAGACTGGTCTTTTCTCTATCTAACAGCAATGTATTACGTATTATTAAGTTATGCTCTCCTAGAAAACTATTAGAGTTATAACTCTTTGAAACAACTACTGCTTGTGGAATGGTTTAATGAGATTTTACAATGTTATCAAACTTGCCCTATACCTGAATAATGGCTTGTTTGTTTCCGGTAGAACCGGAAGTTCAGGTGAGAAGGTGAACCAGTCAAAAAACTTGAAGAATATCAAAATAGAGAAGTCCAAACCGCACAATTTGAATAGTTTCGGAGATATGAGCAGTTGAAATAGGTCAGAATATAACTGGTCACCCGGTACCTCACTGCTGAGGGTGAAGCTCAACTTTCAAGTTATTTTGAACTGTTTTGAACGAACTGTACTCAACTTGTTTACGGACCTTTTGGTTCTCCGGCGATCCAGCATGCTTCCAATGTACTTTGCAAGAACGTTTCCTGCCGCTCTGCCCATGGAACGGGCCAAAAGTGGCGGCAGGACGCCATAAGGGTTTTCATTGTCTGTTAGACCTAGTTTATTGAAGTCGACTGAAACAATAAAATATATCAACTGCAAAATAGCAGTGCAAAATACTCAAAGTGGAATGAATTGTTAAAAAAATACAAAAAAGCACGGGTGGCGGAAATTTGATCGAAAGACGAATGATAGAAAAACATTTGATAGAAGTCTTTTGATCGAAAATCAAAAAATAGAAAGATATTTTCACCGAAAATACATTTGATCGAATGTTTTATGATAGAAAATACACTTGATAGAAACAGCATTTGATAGAAAATTCAACGGGGCTACGCTCAAGTTAGGTCAGTTCGTTTGAGAAGATATGATCCTTCCTCATATATTTGAGAAGAAGGAGCTAGAAGTTTGTGGTATCAATAAATTCATGAGCTTCGAATTCCATCTAGCTCCTTCTCAAATATATGAAGAAGGATCATATCTTCACAAACGTACTGACCTAACTTGAGCGTAGCCCCGTTGAATTTTCTATCAAATGCTGTTTCTATCAAGTGTATTTTCTATCAAATATTTTTCCTTTCAATTGTATTTTCTATCATTTATGTTTCTATCAATTGTATTTTCTATCATAAAACATTCGATCAAATGCATTTCTATCAAAAACACTTTCGATCAAAAGACTTCTATCAAATGTTTTTCTATCATTTGTCTTTCGATCAAATTTCCGCCACCCAAAAAGCACAAAGTCATTTTCACAAATGTTCATAAAATTAAAAACTATGGTAGATGACAGGAGAAAAACAACTACTTTCCTGGCTAATGCCATTATGCCATGAATTATTACATCCTTCCAAAATCTATGCATTGATACCGAGATCCATACGTATCAACAAGTCAACTCTACTATGTACAGGGTGGGCGAAATTCGGCGTTTTCACCGTCTATCTCAATAACTAGAGGAGTTATCCAAAAACCTATATACATGTTCCGGGTTCGATTTTGGAGAAACCTCGAATGGCACAATCAAAATTTCGATATCTTCATTCGTTTTAGAGATACAGGGGGAAATTGAAAATTTGCCGATTTCGATTTTATTTTTTGACTACTTCACGGTGAGAGGTATCAAAAAATTTCGAACGTATATTTATACAGTATGATGCGTGGAATCCATTGGCATCATCAGACATTTTATACAGGGTGACGTTGAAAAGATAGGGCAGCCAATTATGTTTTTTCTAATGGAACACCCCGTATATTTTGGCACAGTTGAATAGTCCCAGGCGTTCTCATCACAAATATATACATAACCCTACCTTTTCCTTCCACAATTTCAGATATATTCGCAAAAATATATTCAGTGTGTCACATTTCTTATGGTTACACCCTCGTATCTTCTGTAAAAATAATTGAGGTAGGATTCAAAAATTCGCAACTGTCAGAAAGATACAAATGATACACTCATGGAGTCATGGACCAAGTGGGATCATCTCCAATGATAACACTGCTCGCCAGCAGCTATGGAATCATCGATATTTCTGGGTAATTCTATCAACAGGCAGAATCGACGTTGAAAATGACACTCTGTATATATTCACCAAATGTGGAAAATAAATATAATAGGGAATGCAATTTCCAGATAAATGGATATTTGGTGAGAAATAAAATGGGAAATTATTCGATTTGATATCATTGTTATCAAGACATTTGAGATACAGAAATAAGACCAATAATTTACTCAATTGGGAAATCAGTAGGTTGCGTTGAAAAATATAGCCTCATAGAAGATGTCCAAATTCCAGACAATTTTTTTTATGGAACACCCCGTATATTTTGGCAGAGCTGGAAAGTTCCCGTTTCAATTTCAAATATATATTTTATTTATTATCTCTTTGAACGCAAAAATATCAAGGCATACTAGGAATAATGGGTAAAGTACCTATCATATTCAGGCATTCTGCCACAAAATATTATGATTGTTGATGTTTCCATCAATTATTCTTACAGAAGATACGGGGGTGTAACCATAAGAAATGTGACACACTGAATATATTTTTGCGAATATATCTGAAATTGTGGAAGGAAAAGGTAGGGTTGTATATATATTTGTAATGAGAACGCCTGGGACTATTCAACTGTGCCAAAATATACGGGGTGTTCCATTAGAAAAAACATAATTGGCTGCCGTATTTTCTCAACGTCACCCTGTATAAAATTTCTGATGATGCCAATGGATTCCACGCATCATACTGTATGGATATACGTTTGAAATTTTTTGATACCTCTCACCGTAAAGTAGTCAGAAAATAAAATCGAAATCGGCAAATTTTCAATTTCCCCCTGTATCTCTAAAACGAATGGAGATATCGAAATTTTGATTGTACCATTCGAGGTTTCTCCAAAATCGAACCCGGAACATGTATATCGGTTTTTCGATAACTCCTCTTGTTATGGAGATAGACGGTGAGAACGCCCAATTTTGCCCACCCTGTACTCCGTCTAGACAAATCCCAGGATTTGTTTATGTTACAATAAATATGGTTTCAAACAATTCAACAATATTATATCATTCCATAATTGAATACCAACCTGATTAGGTATATACAGCGTGATTCAAAATTCGATGTAAATATTTCAAGGACATCTTGTTGAGATCTAAATAAGACTTTTTATTCATATAAACATGTTTCCTAAAATGCACCCCCGCCGAGGGTGGACCCAGACCTCCAACTATCCCAAAACTGGGATTTTTTAAGTAAAAAAGAAGTAGAGTGCCTAAAGAATCAGGGACATGCCAATAATTTTCAGACGATTTGATCCGTTATTATGATCACAATAATTTCAGATAATCTTATTTTATCTTAACTCAAATTACGGAGGCTGTAGCTCGGAGGGGTTGCATTTTAGGAAACATGTTCATATGAAGAAAAATACTCATTTTGATCCCGACAATACGTCCTAAGAATATTTACATCGAAATTTGAATCACCCTGTATAGCAAACCCTGTATAGCAATGAAAATGAAATCAAATACAATAAAAAGGTATCTTTCCGCAAAACCGGAATTACTTCATTTTTGACCCGTCAAAAATTATCATATATCTCATTCTTGAACGACTCCTTCGTAATGTATAACAAATCTACTGGGTGGAACAAAAAATACTCTGTATAAAACCTGTCAAATTGTGCACTTACTTGTAAAGGGCAAACTTATGGTCAAATTTGAGAAGAACCCTTCCGGAGGGTACCTCACAAAAGGTAGGGAAAGTGACGGAGCTATCACCAAAGTTGTGCCAGGCGGTAGGGCCAGCCTGCCATCTTGCGTGACCCACAGGAGTCTTTTCTGTCTAGATTTCGCCTCTTCTTTGGAAAGTGATGGAGATATTGCAAGAAGAAAAAGCGCCAGTATCTTCAAGACTCTGTTGTCCGAATCACACATTTTACCCTGAAGAAAACATGAATAACTGATGAGTTCTCATTTATAACTAAGATAGTAATATGAAACCTACTGATAACTTGTTTTTTATTGTAGCACTGAGCTCTTGAGCAATTTTAAAATCAAAATTTGAACCCTGCTTGTGATCTACCTAAACTTCATAACTTTCCTCCATCTACAACTTTTCCATTGTATTTCACCAGCCTGAATTTCTGAAAAACAGTTGAAAAGGTGTAGCAGAAAGTGTTCATTTTTTCTATCGAACTTTAGGTTGAAATATGGAACGAACTGAATTCAGAAAAAATTGTCAGATTATGCAGCTTCAAAAAAACACCAATAATGGGTCTGATTCAGTGGGAATTTCAATTTCATTATTTTGAAGTACCTATACTTGGATATGTACTTACTATCGAAACCGTTTTCTCCTCCGAACTCTGAACATTTTGAAAAAAATTAATGAAACTCGTGACGTCATGCATATACCGCGATATCAATCCATTGCAATCATAAAAGATATGATCATAATATGCTGGCTAGAATCGGCCAGAACGGCAAATTTTCTGTGATTTGCTAGTACCAATAGGAGACTCTGGCCGTCAGCAGAGCCAGTACATGACTGCCGATACATGCAATGAAAAAAAAAACACGACCGCCACGGGATTCGAACCCCTGTCCTCCGCTATCACTTGGTTACAAATCAATTTATATTATTTCCAACTGAGATACTGCACCTTTATTGAAAAGATATGTGATGGTATGGAATTTATTTGCGGTTAACTTGAGCAAGAAAAAACATCCGATACTCCGATTGACTACCAAATTTCTGTCATGCCTATTTTATGCGTTAGACGACTTGCCTAATTTGATGACTAATGATAATATTTAAATGCAAAACGGCAGAATATCGTAGTGGATGAGCGCTCGACTAGCAATCAGAACGTCGAAAGGTTGCTTGGTTCGATTCCTGGATAAGCAGAGAGTTTTAATTAATGAAAATATGTTATAAAAATGATTATTATAATTATATGAATTCTAATTATCTTAGCCTCGACCGGAGATGAATCCGAACGATTGGCTGTTGCGTTCCAATCAACAGTGCTGCTCCTAAGGTAGCGTATGGAGTTAGTAACAAAGCCTACACAGAACACACGAACAACGAAGAACACATATACTTATACACTCATTTGAATGCAATGAATAAACATTAGAAGTATGAAGTTAGTGTGTACAACCCCATTTTAATAATTTGCTCCAAAAATAATATGGGTTCCCTGTTGTGCGACCCGAAAGAATAAAAAAGAAAAATCGGCGTGTGCCGATATGCCCCGCGGGGTATGTGATGTGTGGCAGTGCAAAAAATTACCCAACAATCTTCGCATGTGGAATGTCGAAGTCGAATAATTGTGAATCGACATTATGTCTCGACCTCTTGTGCCATTTTTATGTTATCCATGTCGGCCATAACAGGTACTAGAACAAGATCGCATAAGATTCGATTCCGTTACGAAAAATACTGGCCAAAATGTAGCTCACGCGCCAAACGTAATTATCAATGCGCTATACTTACTATACAATATCTACTTATTAGTCGAGTTCCAAATTTCGTGCTGTCGCTCCAGGTCACGTAATGGCGCGAAACATTAACATCGCATACAGGGTGGTTCGCATGGTAATAAACAAAGCCAAAACAATATTTTCCAACTTTTATTTCAGATGAATGATAAATGACGTTTTGTTATCGATCGACAGAATTTGGATTAATTCATTTTTATGACTTCCTACGGAGAGTGAAACTAGTGCGGTCAAGATCAGATGCAAACCAACGCTTGTTTGGTGACACATTATTATGGAAGCATACAGAAGTATAAATATATATTTTCTGCAACCGACACAAAAGTCGTCCATTTTGATACCAAAATTAGCTCTTAAATTGACGTTTCTATTACTGACACAAAAATAGGTAAGTTGCTATGCAACATATTTAGTTCCTAGGAGCTAAAGTTGAATTTTAGTTCCTAGGAGCTAAAGTTGAACTTTAGCTCCTAGGAACTAAAAAGGATCTACTGGACGTCATCAAGAATAAACTACATTGTGACGGTTGGCTATTTGGGTTGAGACGCATATCTGATTTGTTTCTGATTTCAGCAGATTTGGCATTTCATACCCATGCTGGAGATATAAATACACCTTATTATAGTTTAGTATTGAAATTATAAACATCTCAGTTAAGTATTTTTGTTTTGATCAGGGAAGCCTTCAAGATTCAAATACTTGCGTGATCTGTATTTCATTCGTTATTCTCGGGATGGATAACTTGTTTTCGAATAATCACGGCAAGCAATAGTTTTTTTGTCTCAAACAACAATATTGTTTGGCTTTATTTGATTATTAAGTAAAACACAGTGTAGTATGGAGATGAATAAATAATCACTATTATCATTGTTGATATATGCTCACTAACCTAACATTTTCCACGTCTTGTTCCTATAGCTGGCACTGGCGCGGTATTTGCCATTATAGAGCACCTGGTCCATTCACAAATATGTCACTCTGTGGTTGTATTCATATTGAAACTACAATTCGAACATCCTAGAAAACCTAACCTGCTGTTAATGCAGGTAGAATATTCTCACCACATGGATTATTTGTCAATATTTGTTGCATTGCATACATATGGCACGGCATTGGTGGTTACTTCACATGTTTATTTGAGTTAATTGTTTCGGTTGCAGAAAAAATAGCATGTTTCATTCGGATCAAAAGTGACTTTGGTCGACTCGCAAATTTTGCTTTCGCTCGGCTTCGCTAATCGCTCCGCCTCGCAAATGCAAAATTCGCTTGTCAAACAAAGTGTCACTTTTGATCCTAATAAAACAATCTACTATTTTCTCCAAGCGGCAGGCAGGCAGAAAAGGTGTACTTTTACTGCCTAGGCAGAAAAAGTTTGTTGCTATGCAACGTTCCAAGAAATTTTAATGGAATTAGTTATCAAAATTGACACTGACATTGAGTGAACACAAAATGATGAAGTTTCCAATGAAAAAATTACGCAAAATTGGTTTTATATCATTTGGAGAAAAAATGCTATGTTTCACACGGCAGCAAATGTAGATTGATTACCTTGGGTGGAATTGTGTCAATCTACTACTTTTCTGATGCCTAGTAAAACATAACTATTGATTGATCGAAAATAGGCAGATATGCCTTCTATATTTATATAGAATATTTCTGATATGACACATCATGCAAGGGGATGGTCAGGCGCATACCTATATATATACAGATATTTTTTTTCTAGAGAGGGTTCTCAATAAGAGACATATATATGACTACTATCAGGAAAATGAAAAGAAACCTTCAATATTATAGATGCTTTTTCATTCAAAAGCAATGGATTTGAACAATGTTTTATAAATATCTAGATTTATTCGATTCAGAGGCGCAAAGAGACCAAACAAGTCACAAAATTAAATAGAAAATAATTTCTTTTGTCAAAAACACAGAGAACACATCGCGATATTTTCTTTTTTGCTTCCATGGGGTGGTACTGATGAACACAAGATGAGGTTCTGTCACCAGACCAGAGAGAGGTTTACTGTCTCCTTGTATCCCCCTTATTTATCTATACTTTCATGAAAATGGTATTAACAGGTTTGAATGTGATTGATTTGACCATGAAAGCCCTCAATAAATAAGTGAGGACGTGAAAATAATTTTCAATTCATTCAGCATATAAGTACAAAATGAAAATATATTCCATGAAATTTATAATAAACATATTATGCCTAAATCATCAAAAATCCATGTTTTATCTAGGTATTATACTTACTATAGGTACCTACTTTCGATATCTTTGAAAATCAAACGTTATCTGACATTTGTGTACCATCTGTATATTAATTCTAGGAAATCCCCAACCTAATCAAGCAAAGTGAATCTCAGATTAATCATCATTATTATTAAGATTCCCTCGAAATCAAATGTTTTGTCCCTCTGTTGAACAATCGATGACAATACTGGGTGTGTCAGATTTTAATCGGTGAACTTTGATAGGCGAGAGAACTCGCAAAAATTTACGTTTTGAAGCTTCGTTAAGTACGCCAAAATATATATTTGTCAAGTTAATAGAAAATTGGCTAGTGGTTTTTGATCAGTCAATACTGAAGTTCTTTTTCCAAAAAGCTTCAACACCCTGTATGTCGAACACGATCCAAAACATATTCAAATTCATATGGAATTTCCTTTTAATTTCAAGTTCTATCGCATATTTAATTTTCTCGATTTGAATCAACAACAGTATATTATATTATTAATTATTAGCCATTTAAAAATATGGAATCGATATTTCTGCGCTTCATTCTTGACTTTATGTTTACGTTTTGAATTAACAGTTACTGTCATCTCATCTGCAGGTATTTCTATACTTTTTATTGCATATCCATATGCAGATAACTCGATAATCATATGGATTTATTTATCGCATCTTTCAGTGACACGCCTTTGAAATGGTTACCTGGTTTTTGAAATGACATAACATCGATCTCGATATAGGTACACATACCTATATGATTATGCTTATTTACCTCGGAACGTGTTTGTTTTACGAATTGAGTGTTTTTTTTTTGGAGAGTTGCAGTTGGCCACTCTAACCATATTTTTATTCAACAGCTAATCAATCTCAGTCATACATTTCAAGAAATGCTTAGCAGATTTCTGTCTAATCCTTATAGTAGCCTCAAATTGATATACAGGGTGTTGCAAAATTCGACCGACAACGCTTGACATACATACATACAGGGCGTTGAAGTAAAGAAATTGAAATAGTTGCTTCGCAATATCTCAAGAAAAATTAAATATAATGCATTCTACTTCGGTATATGGTTTCATCTTTGAATGGGTCATTTTTTGACCAGGAAGCCTTTCCGGACATTTTATCCAGTGGTGCCCTACAGGGGGTTGTGGCAACTTTTCCTCGCATATTTTCTACGTCACTGATTAAATTT